TCTTGTGATGCCAGCTGTGCTCGGAGTGGAGGGGGGTGCTGGGTGCCAGGGCCGGAGCGGTCCTTGCCCACCCCGCCCTCCAGAAGCTCAGCTTCCTCTCGGCTGAGCCTTTCGCATTGATCTCGGGCGCTGACGAATGGGTGCCGCAAGGCCCAGGACACAGGCCGTGCCCCAAGACCGTTCAGCTGAGGAGCAAACCCAGGCGTGCGTCACCGGGAGGGGGAGGATTCTTGTGCTAACCGGGGCGGGCTGCTGTCAGGGGAGCCAGCCCAGGTGCTTGGTGAAATGGGGTTAGGAGGCACAAAGGCAGAGACGGGAACGGGAGAAGGGCGCTAGCGTGGGAGCTCGGTTCCCAGCCTGAAACGAGGGCAGCCGAAGCAAGGCTGCTTTCCCGCGCGGGGGGCTGTCTCCGAGCTCGCAGGCTGGGTGTGGGGAGCAGCAGACACGCAGCGAGCCAGCCTGGGCGTCCTCCAAGAACCTGGGTGCTTCTTCGACTGGAGAGTCTCTACTCGTTCTGGGGCTGTGGGCAGGATTTGTGTGTGCACTCGCTGCTGGCCACCTCCCACCTGCAGCTGGGCAGCGGCTGGGTGGCATTCCTCAAGTGCAAATAACTGAGCTGTGTTGCCTCTTGACTGGATTGCGTCACCCCGCAGCAGGCTGATCTGAAACCCAGCCTGCGACCGGCTGGCACTTGTGATGCGTTAACCGCAGGTGGGTTTTTGGAAGGCAGCCCCTGTGTGTGAGCCTTCGATGGGAGAGCCTGCAAGGTTGTATTTGACAAGGCGATGCCTACGGGCCGGACCTCCCTCGTCCAGCACCCTGGGGACCGCTCAACAAGGGAGTCTGCCGGGCCAGGGGAGGCCAGTTTGGCTCCTCTGCGGGACGACTCTGGGCTCTCCCTGGTGCGCTGGCAGGTCGGGCAGGGCTCCGTGCAGGCCTGTGCCTTGGAGGGGTCAGCCCGGCTACATTTCTCACAGCGCTGTGGGTGGCAGGGTGTAGCCCGGGCCTTGGTCAAGGACAGTCCAGCTGGCACTTAATCTCTGCCTCCTGCTTGGCCCTTCCTCGTCTGGAGAGTCTGCCTCAGGCTGGGTGGTTCTGCATTGAAAGGCGAGGCTGGAAACTGCAGTTTCCAAACCCTGGCTGCCTGCTCCCTCTGCCCTCGCCTCCCCTACACTGCTGGCCCCACGAGTTAGGGGTTGGAGTCCACGGTATTGAGCGCCCACTTCAACGGGTGCTACCCTGACCGCGCCGCCTGTTCCTGCTGCTGTGGGGGGGAAGGCGGCTGCTGAGCGCCGCCTGGCAGATGCACACGCAGGAGCTGGGAGGGATGGTGGCCGAGTGACGCCAGCCGGGAAGGGGACCCGTGCTGTGCTGCTCTTCCTGCCCTGCCCTGCTGTAACGTTCTGCTTTGCTACACCCTCCTGACAATTGCAAGCTGTGCACCGCTGCACGCCAGCCCCTCGCAGGAAGTGGCCTGTGCCCACGTGAGCTCGTGGTACTAGCGAGATTCGTGTTGGTCTCTACGTTGCCGCAGGGCTACCCGGTGTATGGACTAACCCGGCTCCCCGAGACCTCCCCGCGCCATAGGCTCACCTGGAGAGCGGGGAGAACGCAGGAAGCTGCGTTTAAAAGCTGCAGTTTTCTCTTTGTAGCAACTGGATTTGTAGGCGCTCCCAGGCTCTGGGCTCTTTCATGCACGTTTCTACAGCCCCCCCAGCTGATAATGGGGCGCTAGCAATGCGCCGCCTTGCCTGCCCTGGGAGCCGTGTCACCAGCGCTTGCCCCGCTGCTCCAACGCCTGCCGGGGCTCGGTAGGGCCCCACACAGCCCCGGGGGTACGTGTGATGCTAAGCGCGCTCAAGCTGGGCCCCGGGCTTAACCCTGCCTGGCCGTGAGATGTGCCCCAAGGGCTTCTGCACATGGGGGGGCAAAGGGACCTCTGTGTCAGCGGGGGGAAGGGAGCTCCGGCCGTGCCCCTCTTCCGCCCCCCGCCCCACACACACACCAGCCCTGGTGCTGCCCTTGGCTGCCCGGCCTAGCGGAGGGCAGTGCCAAGTGAGCTGTCAGCCTTCCCGGGGCACTGAGCCCGGTCCTGTCTCCACAGCCATGGCTGCCATCCGGAAGAAGCTGGTGATCGTGGGGGATGGGGCCTGCGGGAAGACCTGCCTGCTGATCGTCTTCAGCAAGGACCAGTTCCCCGAGGTCTACGTGCCCACGGTCTTCGAGAACTACATCGCCGACATAGAAGTTGACGGCAAGCAGGTCTGTTTCCCGGGGGTTCTGGCCGTGGTGCTCTAGCGCCTCTGTTCCCCAGCCGGGGCAATCCCTGCACCAGGGCCAGGCAGGGCACTTGGCCCGTCGGGTCGCTTCAGGAACGTGTGTATCCCCCCGCCAGCTATCAGATGAACTCCCCTCCCTGCCCCATAAAACGGGACCCTCGCTGCCTGCTCCCCTTGAGATCCCCAGGCGGGTCCGTTGGCTCCCCGAGAGCGATGCAGGCGGGCAGTGCCCTCGCTCCGCTGTCCGGGGCGCCCTGCGTTGATGCGGCTGATTGGAAATCTCTGCCCTGTAGGTGGAGCTGGCCCTGTGGGACACGGCGGGGCAGGAGGACTATGACCGGCTGCGGCCCCTCTCCTACCCGGACACGGACGTGATCCTCATGTGCTTCTCCATCGACAGCCCGGACAGCTTAGGTAGGGCCACAGGGATAGGAACGAGAGCAGCCACCTGCTGGGCGGCCTGTGCTACTGCATCCCCCTGCCCCCTGGGGGGGTGATCCCTCTAAACATGTTCGTCCCAAGCACGGGCCAGGACCGAGCGCGCTCTGTTGTGGGGAGAGGGGTCTTCTGCCCCGCCACTTCCTGGGCACGTCTCCAACGCCCTCGCGGGCGCTCATGAGAGCGCTGCTCCCGAGCTCCCTGCAGCCCCCGGCCGGCCGAGCTCTGCCCGGTAGCCGAAGGGGCGTATCCTGCCCTGGGCATGCACAAAACCCTGAGCTGCTCTCACCCCAGACAGTCCTGCCGGCCCCTTGGGTGGCCCGTCCTGGGGGATTAGGGGCCTCGTGGCGTTTCTGCTCTGTGCCCAGCCTGGCTTTGGCAGGGCCACAGCACCTGTCCCAGTAGGAAAGCTGAGCCGGGAGCCGCTGGGCCGGATCTGTCCCTGGGTGCGTCCCCTGCCGGTAGCCAAGACAAAGCAATTGCTCCTGGGACGACGGCTTGCAAAGCCTCATGCCCACTCGAACGGCTGGCAAGGCCTCGTCTGCGCTCAGTGTCCCCTGTTCAGCCATTGCTGAATCAGCGCCGCTCGTGAGCGTAGCCAAGGCCCCGCCCATCACGCTCCAAGGAGCAGGGTAGGGTCCAGGGCTGGCCCCGGGAGCTCCCTGCCTGGTACCACGTCCCAGCTGGTGGGGGGTGAGGGCGGGCAGAGGGACTGTTTGGACCCAGGCGGGTTGGCTGCCTTGGGGCCATTGGCAAGAGACGCCCCCCTCGGCCGTGCTCATGAGTGAAGAATTGTCGGTTGCAGCCGGGCGTGCAGGCCGGTGCAGGGTCGTACCACGTCCTGTGCGAGGGCCCTTCAGCGCCGGCACTCAGCGAGACGGGACAACAAGGCTCTTTCAGGACATGGGATACTTGTAAATGATGCTGTCACTTGAGCAGCTGGACTCGATGTGCTTGGCGGGCAGGCCTCGTGGGGGGGCCCCTTCTCCTTGGCGTATTTACGCTCTGACGGCCCTTCTATTCGCCGTGTTCAGAGGGGTGTCACCAGCACTGGCCCCGTTTTCCAAGACCTGTGCCGATGTGGAGCACCACTCGCAAGACGTGGCGGTGGGCGCTCTGCTAATCAGCGGGGCGGCACCTGAATCCCTCCTGGGCGGCTGCTTATGGGGAACACTGGTTCACCAGTGCCGCTCGTTGAGGGAGATTTTCCTTCCTACTGCTGTGCCGTGTGAACAGCCCCATGTCGGCTGTGGAGGGAGGTGGGACCCAGCCTCCCTTCCGGTGCCACAGCTGCCGGGGCGTGCAAATCAGGCTCTCTGCACCTGCTCCCTGGCCTGTGCTGCTCAGCGGTGGGGTGTCTCCAGCAAAGCACCTGCCCCGCCAGCCGGGGACCCTCTTGGCAGCCGGCAGGGGTGGCCTGGCCTGCGGGGGATGCCGGGAAGGGAGGCGCCTAATGGGGCGTGGCTTTTGCAGAGAACATCCCGGAGAAGTGGACGCCGGAAGTGAAACACTTCTGCCCCAACGTGCCCATCATCCTGGTGGGGAACAAGAAGGACCTGCGGAGTGACGAGCACACCCGCAGGGAGCTGGCCAAGATGAAGCAGGTGTGTGTGTGTGGGGGGGGGGGGTGCTGTGCCCCGAAAGCATCCCACGCAGCCGCCTGGGCTCCCTTGTGTGCTTGGCGGGTAGGAGGGGCCACCCTGCAGAGCCGCTTCCCGTGCCCGAGGGACTGGGGACCCCTGCTGAGCCATCCCTCCGCTCAGCCCTGCCCTGCTGGGGCCTGTGGAATTGCTGCTGCAGAGGGTTCTTGCCTGCCGCTGCCTCCGGCTCCTGTTCCAGCAGAATCCAGACCCTGTGGCAGGGGACTAACGCAGGTGCAGGGGCAACCCTCACTTCTCTGCCCTGCCCAACAGCCAGCATGCAGGGGCACGCTGGACGGGAGCCAGGGCTGTATCCAGGCTAGGGATGCAAGAGGCTTCTGTTCCCGGTGACTCTCTGCCCTGCTGCGAGGGGGGCCGGTGCCCTGGGAGGGGGGTTGGCGAAGCGCCGTGGGCTCTGGCTGACTGCCAGCCCTGCTCCTGGGGATCCAGCTGCAGCCCTGCGCGAGGCTCTGCAGTGTGAGAGCCAGCAGCCAGCTCCCCGGGAGCAGGGCTGGCAGCTGCTAGCATCAAGGGCTCCCAGCGCGCACTGGCTCTGGTGGCCAGCCCTACTGCTGGGGAGCCAACTGCATGTAGTGCCCTCTGCTGCATGACCCTTGTACTGCAGCGCAGGGCAGCAGCCAGCTCCCTAGGAGCGCCCCTCACCAGCCATCCCTAGCCCCACCTGGCCATAGACCCCATCCCCTACCCCCCCGGTAACCATGTAACCATGGGAGTTTTAACCCTTTTTTACATCCCCCAACCCATGCCTGGGGGCGCCACTGAGCCTGCCTGCCGGCGTGTCTGGCTTGCTGCCCTGGCGCCTCACTCCACGTGTTTGAATGCCTCTCAGGAGCCCGTGAAGTCGGAGGAGGGGAGGGACATGGCGAACAGGATCAGCGCCTTTGGCTACCTGGAGTGCTCGGCCAAGACGAAGGATGGTGTGCGGGAGGTCTTTGAGATGGCCACGCGGGCTGGCTTGCAAGTCCGGAAAAACAAGAAGCGTAAAGGCTGCCCGCTCCTGTGAGGTGGCCGTGCCGGGAAGGAAGTGACTGCCATCTGTACTGTATCCGTCTGCCCCCCGCGGGCGTGTGGGGCAACACGCTTCTCACTCTGAGGACGTGCCTGGCCCCCCAGGGCCCTAGCCCCCACCTGCAGCACACACAGGGGTGTCTAGCGGTGCTGTCACCTGTGGACTGTCCTAAGCCGGTAGGAGCATCTCTGGCAGACACCGCGGTTCTGTGAAGACCGTACAGTGCATTTGAGTAGCTCTCCATGCTGTATCTCAGTCCCGCTTGGCACTAATCCCTCCTCCCCGATGCTCTGTTCAGATTCTCTGCAATATTTAATCTCTCTACCTTCATACGGAGTGGTGAGTCTCTGTAGAACAGGGAAGTTCCGACACCGTTGGGGGTGGGTGGTTCCTGTCCTGGCACCTGGGGGGGTGTTTCTTTGCAGTCTCCAAGCCCAGATGCGCCTGCCCCGGGGGCTGCTTGCTCCCTCTGAAGGTGCACACCACCCACCAGCATTTTGTACACCCATAGGCCCAGGCAGTCAGTGCTCTGTCTGCACCCAGGGCCTTGCTCGGGTGCACAGGGCTTTTGCAAGGAGCTCCTCTGCTCCTGTGGGGAATGCCCCCTGCTGCACCTCTGCCTCAGGCCTGCCCTGGGGTGTCTCATTGCCCTCCTTCCTCTTGCCATAAAGCAAGGCCTTGTAAAATGGGCCTTTTTCCTTACCACTGCTGCCTGCCTGGACCACACCATGCTTAGAATCAATACAGCCTGGCGCTTGGGTAGCTGTGACTCAGCACGCGCCTCCGTTTCCTCTCCTTGCCTCTGGGCCAGCCAGTGGGTCTGAGGGGCCAGAGCAGTGAGCGACCAGCCAGTACGTTTTGGTTCTCGCGGATGGAATTCCGGGGCTTGGTCCAGACTGGCCCATAGCCCCTATGCCTCCTACCTCGGTCTCCCTGTCTGCAAAGCACGACTCAACACCTTGCTTTGCAGGACGGCTCGACGCTCCACTAAAGCTCTGAGCGCCTTGCAGGGGAAGGCCTGGAGAGGAGCCGCAGCTCCTTATCGCATCTTTTGGTCTCTTAAGCCTTCCTCCTAATCAGTGTTTTACGGCCCGAGGCCGGTTCCCCCTGTGCTGTGGGCCAAGGAGAGGTGCCCAGCTCACGCTACGATGGGAGTGAAACACTCCGGCAGGGATGTGTGAGGCTCACACGGCCCCACCAGTGCAGGGGATTGGAGCAGTCCAGCTGCTCGGGACAGGTGAGTTCCAAGCAATGAAATGTGGAAGCAAATGGCAGGTTTGATGTAGGCGCTGTTCCAAGTGGGGCCATAGGAAAGGGGGAGGCTCAACTTCCTTCTCTAAGCTGCATGGGGGGGCGGGCTGTCTCAACACGGGGGAGGTTTGGCAACGTGCGAAAGTCACCAAGAGCAAAAACTGCTCAAACTAGTTTTTCTGCCTCCCATTGTCAATGTTTCCTACCACACGGCTAGCACCCTGCCCACAGATAGAGCAGTGGGTCCCAAGCTTTTCGGCATCACACCCCTTTTTGACTTTTTTGAGGAAACCCCTCCCCCTCAAAAAAAATAGCAGCAAAACATGGGGTGGGATTGACAGGTAGGGGTGTGTGTGTGTGTGGCTGGGTCACCCTGTCCCCCCCCTCAGAATTTCTCCCCCCATCATTGGGGAACCCGAGCTAGAGCAAAGCAGTGTGGGGAAGCATGCTGTAGTGCAGTGTTGTGTGAAGGCAGAGCTGATCCCTGCACTTCTTGGGATTGCCTCGTAGCTCTGTGAGCTCTCTGTGCTGGGGATGCCACAGCAGCCTCTCCTGCCCTCCCCCTGCTGTAGTCGCCTGCTGCTGTGTCCCTAGCAGGGCAGAACAGAAGCGCTCCAATGATTTGCTCTTTGTTCCCCAAAGAGAGCAGCTCTCACCACTGTGGATACTTCCCCGAGCTTTGAAAGGGGAAGGGCACAGACCTGCAGGGCAGCAGAGCTCAGAACACTGAGCACAGCCACCAGGGCCAGTATTGTGGGATACTGGGATACTGGTGGAAGCCAGATCTCTAGACTAAACAAATAGCATCCACACGGGCAGGCGTGGAAGTTTTTTGTTGCCAAAACTGGGTGTTTTTCCCAACCAAAGTTGCATAGCCGTGTAAAGGCTCCCACTGTTTTGTCAACAAAAGGCAGTTTTTGGCAACAAAACAGGCCACAGTAGACAAGGCCTGTCGGTTTTGCACAGCCAACAGCGGTTCCCCTCTGCTGGGAACTCCCTCTGTACACCAGCGCTGGCTCCTTAATGTTCACGTGAGCCAGGGGACCATGCCATGCTCTGTGGGACCCAAAACCTCAGTTCCCTTTCGCAGTGGCCATGGAGAAGTTTTTGTTGCGCGTTGGCTCCTGCCAGCAGCACTCAGCGCCATGGGCAGCTGTGGCTCCCTCCCATGCCCTCTGGGGGGAGGGCTGGGCTGCCAGGGAGAGCTGGGACACGGCGTGGGAGTGACGGAGTGGGAGGCCCACACCAGTGCTTTCCCCTGAGCCTTTATTGCAGAGCAGTCTTGGCTCCCTGAGAGACCCCCTAGTACTGAATCTGACAGCGGCATCACAAAGACCTGAGCAAGGCTCTCGCCGGCCCTGGCGCAGCTCCTGGCCCTGCAGCGGGGCTCTGGAACGGGGCTCTTGATGGCAGATGGTTGTAGCCCCTTGCTGCGTGTGCCACGCGGGTGCCCCCGGGGGGCGCCAAGTTGCCGCAGGGCTGCCTGTGGTGGGCCGGGCTCGCCAGGGGCCTGGGGTGAGATGATTTTTTTAAAAACAAGCGCTTTTCCCAACAGGTGTAAAATAGGCGTTGACCCCAACTCCACCTGCGGCCAAGCCCAGCCCTCGCGGCGGGGGGGTCCTGCCTCCCGCGGCGCCAAGAGCGCGCTGGGCTCGCAAGGTGCAGTGAGGCGTGAGGTAGCCGTCAGCCCAGGCAGGGCGGGGGGCGGTAGGAATGTGGCCGCAAAGGGCAGCTGCTGAGAGGGCGGGGAAGCCGGGTGGGTGCTGAGGCGGCAGGGGGCCGAGTGGCAGGCTCCCCCTCAGTGCTCGTGTCTCCACCCCGGCCCCAGCTGCTGCTGGACGTGGCTCTCGCCGGCTGGGGTCCCTGGGGAGAGAGGGCAGGGTGGGCATGAGGGGAGCTGGCCCAGGCAGGCCGGGGGCGAGAACAGCACCTGTCTGAGGCCCCCCCCCATGGGGGAACAGCCTTGGCGGCAGGAGCCCGCAGTTGCCTTGCGGCGCCCAAAGAGCAGTCTGGATGCTCTGCCCACAGGAGCCACGTTATGAGATCCCGCCCCCCCCCCATGCGGCTGAGCTAGGCCTTATACACCCCCCCCCCTCCCCCAATGTGGCAGGGCAGGGGGCTGGCCGGGCCCAGCTGGGCTGGGATGGCTCTTCCCTGCTGGCTCCGTGTCCAAGGGGAGGGAGCTAAGCTCGTCCGCCAGCGCCTCCTCTTCAGGGCTCTCCGGGGTGTAGGTGCAGCCCGTGTACCCGCCCTGCTCCACGCAGTACTTGAGGAACCTGCGGGGACAAGCAAAGGCACCCATGGGAGAGCACCCAGTCTGAGCCAGCGCAGCGCCCCAACGCCCAGGGCAGGCTGGGCTCCAGACACGGTGCCAAGGCCCCAGCCTGGCAGTGCAGGGGCCCTGCCAAGGAGCACCCAGCGTCCCCCCCAGAGGAGGGATCTGGGGGCCCAGGGAAGGGGCAGGGCAGGACTTACGTGCCCCAGTGAGGGTCCTTGCAGAGTACGGCCGCGCTCGGGGGCTGATGGGGCTGGGGTAAGGCACAGGGCTAGGGCCCAGGAGTGCAAAAGGGGGCCCCTGCCCGGGGGCCTCTCTGCAGCGCGAGGGATCTGCAGGGGCCCAGCCCGGCACCAGGTGCAGGCGGCCGACGGGGGAGAGTTGGGTGCCAGTGGCTCTGATGAGCCGCCTCCGCTGCCGCCGGCGGGGCCCCCAGTCCAAGGGGTGCGCTTGGGCCAAAGCAGCTGCCGTGGGCATGAGCTGAGGAGGCCTGGCCGTTAGGACTGCCCTGCACACTGGCTCCCTGTGGGAGGGGCTGTGGTCCCACGGCCCCAGAGGGATGGGTCAGTAAGGCCCTGCCGTCGGGCACTAGCACAGCCTGGAGTGGCACGCTGGGGCCAGCCCCGCTCCACTCACTAGCCCACACTTCCTTTCCTGGAAGGCAGCTTGTTGCTCATTTTACCCCACCACTCAGCAGTGGCCTGGGAAAGCGGGTGGGGAGGGAGTGGGGGTGGGTGGCCAGGGCGACCCCCAGCTCCCCAGCCCAGCTAAGGGCTCTGTGGGCCAGGGCTGCTGAGGGCCCGGCACCTACCTTGGGGTTCTTGAGGAAGCCCAGTTTGAACTTTTCATCCATGGCTAGGAACTCGGGGCAGCTGCGCACGGTGGAGACGAGGATCACGCGCCGCTCCTGGCCCTGGAACTCCTCCACCGAGCCCACCTAGCAGGGAGAGGGCAGGGACCTGCATTCTCGTCGCACGGCTCCCTTGCACGCCCACAGACGCACGCACCCGCCTGTGCGCTTCCCTCGTTCGTGTTGCAGGGACCTGCATTCCTGTCGCACGGCTCCGTCGCACGCCCACGGATGCACGCACATGGCTGTGCGCTTCCCTTGTCCATGTTGCAGGGACCTGCATTCCCGTCGCACGGCTCCCTCGCACGCCCACAGACGCACGCACCCGCCTCTGCGCTTCCCTTGTCCGTGTTGCAGGGACCTGCATTCCCGTCGCACGGCTCCCTCGCACGCCCACAGACGCACGCACCTATCTGTGCAAGGTGCACCTAGCAGGGGGCGCTTCCCTTGGCTGTGCTGCAGAGGATCCTCCCCTTGTCCTACTCTGTGATGGGAGAGGGATGCAGCCCCTCACTCCCACTCCCCCTGCCCTCCAAGCCTCAGGGAGGAGGGGCCCCAGCCTGGCCTGGTGTCTCCGGGCGGCCAGATGCACTGGGAGTAGGCTGGGGGTGGCTGTGGGCGTAGCCCCCCGGCAGTGTTCGGAGGGGGTTTGCCCCTTAGCCGGGCAGCGCCGGGAGCTGGGGGGAGCCCTGGCCATGCCTGTGGGTGCCCACGTGGCTCCCTGCACGGCCACAGCGGGGGGGGGCTCACCTTCAGCTCCTTGATGTCTGGCAGCTGCTTCAGCTCAGGGTCCAGTCTGGTGATGGCCAGTCTGATCTTCTCCACCTGGGAAAGGGCGAAGGGCTGGGACTGCGGGCGTGTTCCTCCTGCAGCCCCCACTGGGCCTAGCCCCCCCAAAGCCCACGCCCCAGGCCCCTCTGCGCCGGGGCCTTCCAATGCACCTGGGCTGGGCCCTGCCCCAAGGGGATCCACACCCGGGCGCCATCCAGCTCCTCGGCCGGGAGGGGGCTTCCCGGGGCAGCAGGGCCACGGCGCGTGGGGCTGGGGGGCCTGGGAAGGCAGCACGGGGGGGCTGCATCTCCACTGCCTCTCACCTGCTTCCTGTAGGGGGAGATGATCCCGATCTCCTTGGGGGAGAGGCTGGCGCGGCCCCGCCTGCCCTGGCTCTGCAGCAGCTGCTTGAGG